TATTTCATGTAAAGGTGATGAAACGCTTACGACCGTGCTGAATGTCTTGAATAGTGGTAATCGATGTACAGCTTTTCGGTTAACGAGAGGTCTGCATGAATGCAGTTGCCATATCTCTACTCATGGGTTCGACGGAACATGTAACGTGTAACGTTATAAACCTCGGTCCGTTCACTCCCCTAATTACATCAAATTTATCTGTAACTACTGCAGATCCGTTACAACTTCAACAATTTTCTACAATCTCAACTTGAGCGTAAACGAGGACCTATAGTTTAGGGGTATTATGAGGCAATTAATATGAACCTGAAATGTCACAGGGATTTGGAGTTTGACAAAGCCATTACACATAACGCCTTTATAATCAAAGTATACCAACCCAGTCAAATCAAGAATCAGAAATGTAGGGGATCCAAGATTTATTTGTAAGGCTACTGGTATGTCGAGAAGAGTTCGGTCTGCGTTGGCAAACGGTTGTGTTGCACGGCGTACCCACTCGTGATCTGGTGCGAATGCGTGACTGAGCGTCTTCAGCTAGATGTGTTGATTAAAACTAATGAGGTAAGAACCTATGTCATAGACTTATAGAACTGTTTATTTTAGGGATTTATTTACCTCTACCACGAAGTCATTCACATGGGCTTCTGATCTGTTACAAAAATGCCGAGAGCTTACTCAATACGTGATCGGAGTAAGGTGCACAGTTATTCTCTACCAAGAAAGATGTGATCGCAGTCACAAAATCTTGGTTGACGCAGTCTGTAAACAGCACGGAACTTGACTTTGAAGGTTTCACGTTAGTAAGAGGAGAAAAATGTGGGAGATATTTGGGTCACTAGGTACTGAAAACACAAAATCTCGATATCGAGAAGCTCGAAGTATTTGTGTTTCAACCCTCCGAATGTCTAGAAGACTGTACGAAGAAAAACTTGATGGGGAATCTTTAGAATACCCTAGACGCTTATACTCGTACACAAGCCAAATAACTAAGAGATGAAATATCCCGACATTATGAAGTGACAGTAATGCTTCATCGTTAGTGCAGGACGACTCTGGTAAAGCTAAGATATTCTCAAAATACTTTAGCAATGCATATATCGCAGAGACATCCTTCCTTTCAGTACATACAAACCCAATCACACACACTGGACAGCGTGACCCTTAAAGATTTCGATGTCTTTGGTCTGCTGAACGAGCTTGATATTAGCAAGTCCATGGGACCGGATGAAATGCATCCTAGGTTGCCAAAGGACTGATCAGATTTCGTCGCGAATCCCTAAAGCACATGTTTTAATTCATCTGTAACCCAACGTCAATTACCAAAACACTCGAAGAACGCTATGGCAAGTCCTGTCTTCGAAACTGGTACGAAACATAAGCCTAAGAACTATCGACCCGATAGTTAAATTGGAATCGAATTGCAAATAAGAGACGATTTCAGGCACTACGGTTCCACAGCGTGTTAAGATGGACATCGCTGAGAGGTCAGTCATTTTTCATAAGCTAAGAGAATGTTCCGGAAAGGAATCAAAGGCTAGACTTGAGAACGGCCTCAGTCACATTAAGCCCTCGATAAGCAAGCTACATGTAGAAACAGTTTCAGGAGTCAGTATCTGTAAGCTTTATAGAATAGGACAAAAAATGGATTATGAAAGTACTCAGAAAGCTGCCTCTTGAATGTCACCTTTGCTATATTTGGAGAAAGAAGCCTGATACTTGGAAGCTCACGCAAACTTATTGGATCCGGAATACACGTCCGTGAAGATCTCAGCCTGGTCGACCGTATTAAGAGACGATAGGCATAAGTAGAAAAAAATGAACGCCGCCGAAACCGTGGAAAAGCACTCGTACTTAAGGGTTTTCAAATTGTAAAGGTTCGGAGCAAAACGAGCTCGAAATCACTCCGGGTGGTAAGGGAAAGTTCTCCACAAAATTAAAGGCGTGTCAAGCAAATGCCTAAAAATAAAATGGAGGAGCTCAAGACAATGTTGGATAAAGAAAATCCGCATGTTATTGCTGTCTCAGAAACATGTTTAACGCCGGGAGTATTAAATAATAAAATTCGGCTGACTGGGGGGCTGATATATTAAAGCGTAGGGGAGGCGGTGTTATATCGCACACGCATATTACCCTAACCTTACGAGCAGTTGAAACAGTGGCACACGATTCAGGGACATGTGAACTGGTGCAATGCAAGCTGAAATGTAGACTGCAAGATAATGAATTAGTTGCAGTAGATAATTTCCTCTTAAGCAAACTTAAGTCCTAGTGTAATAGGGGGAAACGCCTCATGGTAGGTGACTTTAATGCACAGTATATAAAGCAAGTTAATTTTGAAGTAAGGTCATAGGTAACATCATTCGATTGCAAACTGTTATAAACCTCAACTGCACTAGCTTTATTTCACCACATTAGGGATCCCACCAGATATGATTGTCGAAGCTCCTTTTCCCTCTTGGATTTAGTCTTCACACAAGGTGATGATATCGGTCAAATGACTTTACCCCTACCTCTAGGGATAAGTGGTCATGTAGTCATCTTATCCAAATTCATGGCTGAGATTGCCTGTCAAACAGTTGCACCAGCTCGTCCTAACATATGGAAGGAAGACATGAAGGCAATGAACTCCGCAGCATCGGCTGAGAACTGGGAAATTGACTCAAGGTCTTCAGTACAGGAGGTATGTACTTATTTCAGGTAGTTATACAATCGGGCCATACAATCAACCATACATGCTCTTGTCAGTCCCAAAGAAGAAGAACGGCCATCCCAGGATAGGCCGGGATATTCGACGTTTAATAAGACAAAAGAGGAAATGTTGGAATGTTGCCATTAGCCTCGGCACAGCAAGTACAATGGAATGCTACAGGTTGGTAAAAAACACATGTATAATTAAAATCCGTGAAGCTCAGAGAAAATATGAAATGCAGTTGGCACAATCTTCACTCAAGCAGCCTAATACAATATTCTCGTACATTATTTGAAGAACAAAGATGCATCATTGGATTCCAAACATAATTAAATAAGGGAGTATATCTGAAATGATAGAGGAAGATAAGGAAAGAGCTGAAACTATGGCTATTTAAGGGCAGTTTTCACTCAATAACCTTCCTCAGACAAAGAACTAGACTCAAATACAAAGTAAATAGACCGCCTGCTCACCGTAAACTTTGATCGAGACGATGTACTTAAGGCTTTTAGCACCTTAGACATGGAAAAGTCAACAGGACCGGATGAAGTACACCCCGAAATCCTGAGACATATTGCATAATATATCGCAGCCCCACTGACTGTGATATTCAATATGTCGATTGACCAAGGTGTGTTACATATAAACTGGAAGGATGCAGTCGTCACTCCCATACATAAAGCAGAACCAGGACAACTTCCATCGAACTACAGACCTGTCAGCCTCACCAGTTCTGTATGTAAAATACTGGAAAGAATAGTCAAAAGATCATAATAACATTGAAGGAAACCAACCTGTTAAACAGCAAACAATATGGTTTCAGAAAGGGTTTATCTTGTACAACAAACCTGCTTATAGCAAGGGAGCATTAGATAAAGGTGCTAGGAAACGTGAACTCAGTGTATAACGTCTACATCGACTTAAGTAAAGCATTTGACAAGTGCCGAAAAATATACTGTCATTGAAGTTAGAAAATCTTGGTGTTGCCGGACCCCTATTAAAATGGCTTAAAAATTTCCTAGTATGTCGTTGACAGAAAGTAAGAACAAGTTCAAAGTGCTCCACCTGGAGACCAGAAGTTAGTGGAGTACCTCAAGTTTCTGTCCTAAGTCCTTTACATTTTATACTTTATGCAAATGATCTCCTAAGTATAGCAGTCCCCAATATTATTCTAAACTCACGATATAAAAATAATAATGAGAGACGCAGATGCACGCACATTTCAGGCAGACTTAAATAATGTGATTAACTGGTCTAGAGAGTAGCTGATGCCTATCAACGTGACAAAACGTGTCTATATGTACTTTGGGGATACAAACGTTAATAGGTACAGAATAGGGGAAGTGCCTGTACCCATGGTCCGGCCTCATAAAGATCATGGAGTGACAGCGAACCATAATTTTAAGTCTACAGCCTATTGCCGGGAGGTTGCAGCTAGGGGGTTCAGAATCCTTTGGGCTTTATAGTGGACATTCACTAATTTAGATGCTACCATGTTCACTGCAGTATGCACAACTCTAGTGAGAACTAAGCTTGAAAACTACGTTCAGACTGAAAGCTCCTGTTTAAAAGGTGACTCGGTTATCCTGGAAAAAGTAAAGAGGGAAGGTACCCGTGCAAATCCAGAACTCTGTGGTTTACCATACAAATAGAGGCTTGAAAAGCTAGACCTCTTTATTCTGTCCTGTCGCAGACCAAGAGGTGATCTAATTTTGATTTACAAGATACTAAGAAATGATTTTTGACCTAATATGTTCTCTCTTTTTTCCCCCACTAGATTGGGACATCTCGAGGGATATAGCAGGCTAGTAGAAAAGCCAAGAACGAAAAAAAATACCCGTGTCATACAGGTTTTCACACTGATTCATCAATTCCTGAAACCTGTTATACGAAGCAGTGGTGTCCGCACATTCAACTGACTCATTCAAGAGAAGACTGGACACTCATAAAAGCATACTAGAAAAGCAATTACATAGGCTGTAGGCCAGAATCTGAAATCAAATTACTTGTCAGCTGACTATCGACTTTCCCATCGAGTCATCAACGAATGGAATTCATTACCTCACCAAATAACTAGAGCTCTATCTGTCTACATTAAAAAAAAGTCGGACCAACTGAGAGACAACAATTGCCATGAATAACATAGATCAACTAGCCCCCGTCCTTTCTAAACTGAGACTGATGTGAACTTGGATCCTGATAAGCCTAAATCTGAGTCTCAACTAATTGAAAGTCAGTTTACGATCGATTGTACTTGTAAATTTACATAAAATTCAGAATATTTGAATAGCACCAACTGAAATGGAGAAGTATGGTTTTTTCGAGATACTTTGCCGGTTGTACATCAAGTCCGCAATTCAAATTTGCTTTCCGTGTGGTCTTTGTTATCTCGTATTTGTATAGAAGTGTTAACTGGCCTAGAATTGCAAGTTCACCAAGTTTTTACTGCATAGTATTCTTTTTGAATATTTGTAACTAGCTTTTATATGATTTGCACTTTTCACTGTTTCTGAGCTTGGCGGAACGTATAGCTCTAGTCTCCCGATCTAGGGCAAAGTTTTGTCAGTTCTGAAAAAAATATTGAGGTAGCCCCGATAGAGATTTTCGAGACTATGAAAATCCCAAAATTTCCTTTGGTTTTGAGGTTTTCCTCAAAATTTAATGTCATATTGGAGAAATCCCCAAAATGCTTAGTGTGATCTAGGGTTTTCCTCAATATTTTTCCAGACTTATGGGAACGTACGAATTTTCTCATAACTTTCGTAAAAATCGGAATCTCCTCAAAACGATCCAAAACCTGGAGATCGGGGCTACTGATTATTGATGATCAGTTTCCACACTAAGTTAGTAAACAGCAAACTTATATTTTGCGGTATTCTGGCTGATTTGCCGTAAGTTTATTCGGTTCCTGATAATATAAAGTATTGTTCTCGTGATTTTAAGGTTCCAGTCTAGTTAGGCTCTGTATATGGAGATCGTCAGACGCCTCCCGGTTTTGCTCTTTTATGCCCATGACTAATCTTTAGAGTTCAAACATATCACCTTGTGTTTCAAACAATCAAGAAATATCCTGGTTTCTGTTCACGCCCTAAAAAACAAAACTTGTTTTACCTCCAGTATATATCCATATATATGTTTACAAATTCAATCAGGACTTAATTTACACATATTCGTATGTACTTCTGCCAATTATTAGATCGGGATTTATTAGGAACATCGTATCCCCGATCTCATTATACGCCACACTTTCAAGTGCATTTCACCCTGGTAGTTAGACTGCTTACATATTAACTGATTTATTAGAAAATACCGCGAAAGTTTGATTTTTGTCGCAATAGGTCCCTCCATGTTCACTTTGAATTGGATATGTACAACTTAATTTTGTCTTGTCGTTACTGAATGGGGTAATGGTGAGAATGCTGAAAATAACTTGACTAACGGAAAATTCAGCATATTGCAGCTGGATTCGTTGTAGGGTCACTGAGGCTTACTTCTTTTCGTACAGTAAGGGTTATAATTTTAGAAAGTTATGAAGTGTCAGCTAATGTTAAGGAGTATTTATATATGTGTAAATCATGCACATGAATTCATTCTTCAGTAATGAGGATTTTATTTATTATTTGAACACATTGGTCCAAAGAGGCATCGAATACATATGCGCAATACAAGTCACTTGATTTGTGCATGGGCTGTGATACTGCCTGGGCGCCTAGACCGAAGCAGGTAGTCTTCTTACGAGGGGACACCCCACCACTTATCGACTGTTTGGTGAAGATGCTGATAAAATGAAGTTTTTTGGTAGCACTAAGCAACAATGCCAGAATGTTTGGAATGCGCCTCTCTCCCTCTAAATGCAAGTTGTTGCTTCAGGACTGGTCTGCGTCAACACCTGAACTAAGGATAGGGAGTGAAGTAGTCGAGCGCGTTGGCAACTTCACTTGTACTGAAAGTCTGATCAGCCCTAATGGGTTGGTGTCTGACGAAATTTCTGCACGAATTCGAAAAGCTTGTTTGACTTTCGTCAACTGACGTCACCTTTGGCGAAGGCGAGATATCTGTCTATCAATAAAAGGACGAGTATACTGCGCGGCAGTTTGTTCCGTTCTACTTTACGGCTGCGAAACATGGCCATTAAGAGTAGAAGATACTCGTAAGCTACAAGTATTTGACCACAGGTGCCTTAGAAATATTGCTGGCGTCTGTTGGGATCACCGGGTAAGTAATAGTGAGGTTAGACGCAGGGTATTAGGTAATGATGGTAAATCGGTTGATGACGTTGTGAATTTCCATCGACTGAGATCGTTGGGCTACGTGCTGCGTATGCTTGAACACCGATTACCACGACGTGCAATGCCAACCGGTGTTGGGGATGGTTGAAACCTAGGGGCGGCCGAAACAAATGTGGCATCAGTCCTTAAAGTCCTTAACTTCTGGTCTGAGCCATGTTGGTAGATGCAGACTACTTGGTTGGAGTCCGCGTGACTGTCATAACCAATGGTTGGAGACTCTTGGAGACATGGCTCTGAATCGATCACAATGGCGTAGGTGTATACACTCCCTGTCTTCCCTTAAACTAAGAGATTAAAATCGCCTCATATCTTTCTTTCTGTACTATGTCCTTATATGCAATCTTTCTTTTATATATTACCACCACTGAATTAACTACTTCTATGAATCCGGTGTTCATCTTGTGCTAAAGAGGTATGGCAACTTGAACCGTTGTAAATATGTGCCTGGTCCTACGTCGCAGCTGACTGACCACACCCTGAGCCTTCGACCTAAAGTTCTGATCCACAAGGCAGTCAAGCAACGTAAGGAGATGCAGTCCCATAGTAGTCGGTAACCAACAATTGGTTTATACGTCATTTTTCCTTCAGGATCCTGGAGTCCATGTGCACAATCGGTTTAGAATCAAGGTTTCCCAACTCCGCTAGGTGAATCCTCTGTGTCGACCAACCCCGTTAAAGCACCGGTCCCTTGCTTTTCGTCCTCTCAATTTTGTAAACAACACCCCTGCCACGAGAAAGCAGTGAGTAGGACTTCCCTGATAGTAGTTGTATGCACGTGGCGATGTGAGAGCATTTTGTGAAGGAGGGCTGACTCTCTCCCTCTCGACCGTACCAGAGCATTTAGGGGCAATAATGTTATGACCTTGGATGTCTGACTTTTCTATCACACGATTTATCTACCAATCCGAGTATGACTTATACGAATCTTCACACTAGGCCAACCGATAACGTTCAACCGGTGTGGGCAGTTTAGCGTCCTTATTGGTCCTATGTCCTCCGAGCCCTTCCACTTGAGTCCAGAACAAGATACCAGCTTCCGTAATATGAATCGAATCAGAGCAGATCACACCAGATCGTTTATTTCAGACATACCCGGTTTATATATCAATCAGACAGACCACAACGTACCATAAAATAGGAAATAATATTTGTACACAAATAAGCCCAAAAAGTGGCTGTGAATGTGGGAGGCAGTAGTTAATAAACTGAAGATAACTTAAGAACCGTAAATCGTACAATAATAAATTATAGGTCAAAATAAAGCTTGTCATAAGAGGAATATAAATATACATAATGTAATTGTTGAATAGTTATACAATATGAATATTTATAGAATATTAGTCCATGAATAGTCCTTGGAAGTTACCTGTAATTTAATCTTCACCGGATATAACAAATAAGGATAGGTCTATCGACCTATATTAATCCTTACAGTTTGTAGCAATCCCATTTTGAATATATCAAGAGGTGTTGATATTACATGTTCCCGTAGAAAATTCCAGTAATTCACTACTCGGTACGAGAAACGAAACTCCAGACGTCGACGATTTGGTCTCAGTTTTTGAAATTTTTTCGATTGTCTTCGCAAATGATCAGTCCTAGACGGAAGGGAAAGATAAGAAATATTAATACCAAGGTCATTGTTCAGTATACGTTAAGCCAATATCAGATCACTCAGTATTCTACGGTAAGATGACTGAAATAAGTTGAGGTGTGTCAGTCTGTCAGACCTTAAATGACATAACTCAAAATCGTTTGCAATGACGCAGGTGCATCCATTCTTTGGGCTCTCCCAAATTCTAAACTTCTGAATTCTTTGTCTCCTTTTTTTCTCTTACCAAATTTTTTTCACTGAATTATGCTCTTTGAATAACATCTTCAAACCCTAATCTTTCCGATTACTGCTTACACTTTTACTACCTCTATCACTATGGGATTTGAATCGACAATTGTATCTGTGTGCTAATGTGGTATGGTAACTCGAACTGATGTACGTACGTCCGAGGTTCTACGTTTTTACTGACTGACTGAATCTATCTTCATAAGATAGGCTAGAGAGACCTTTTACCATTTTATTCCCTCATCCTTGGACTCGTTCCAGTATATCAGCCTCATACTTGAAACAAGGACTCGCTACTTAAACTCCATACTAATCCCATACCAATGAGTTGAGATCATCCTGTAATAGTATTCTACTACTATAAGTATGATAGGCCTTTACGAAAACCATGTTTTCTGAATAAAAGATTATGTCCTTCCATATAACTTATAACAGCTTTAATTTTGACAGCTGCACTGGTTAGACTAACTGGTCGGTAGTTACTAAGTCCCTATTCCTCGCCTTATACACCGGACTAATTATTGCGTCCTTCCAGTATCTTGGCAGTCTGGACTGCCACAGACCTATCAAACAGTATGGCTATAGGTCCAGCTATTACATCAGATAGAGCTTTCATAATCCTAGGACGAATATCGTCAGGATCACTGGACTTGTAAGGCTTGAAATGCTGAAGTAATCTTAAGACATACACTTCTCAATAACCACAGGATCCATCAACAAGCCGCCACAATCACAATTAATCGTTGGTTGTTCCTCATTGCTGATAGAAAACACTACTGAAATGTTCCAATAACGCTTCAGCTTTGTCGGCATCATCTCTTGCCAATATTAATGGATTTTCTTGTACTTAAAATGATGGAATTCCATCACTTCCCTGAGTTCGTCTTTTTATATACGAGAATAACCGTTTCCGACTATTTTTATAATCCCTAACCAATTTTTTTATACGACTGTCTAGTCTTATTTACGCTTTACAAGCATTCCTAGTCTTACAATAACTGGATCTGTAGTGTTCTAAGCCAACAGAGATGAACATGTTCCAGTGCTTTTTCCTACATCCAAGAGGTTTCTTGACTTATTTAGTTATCCATGGTGGACGGTTCTTCGGTCTGCGTGGCACCAAGTATAAACGAGAACGTAACTGAACTAAACTTGCCTTTAAATATAGACCATGCTTCTTCAACTGATGAGCTGGTATCTATTGACCAATTTGTCTTAGCAGCGCACTCCCGAATGACTGATAAGTTAACTCTTCATATATTTGGGTGAGGCTTAACCTGATTGTGTATCATGTCA